GTCTACCAATGAGAATGACCTGCCCTCAAGTCCTCCAGTGAGCGCACTACTTGAGCAATCAGTAAGCTTATCTCTGCACAACGTAATTACTAGAGTCCAGGAACTTTCAACTAGCTCAATCTCTCGTGAACATCATTTTTGTCCCATCTTTCGGCTGTACATACTAAACGCCGAGAGCTTAATAAAGGTTTTTTTCAAGAGGCCTTCGTCTTAGGATTCGGTAAGTGGATGAACCGTGACCCGAATAGCTGCATCACCGGAAAAACAGTTCCAAAACAGGGAGGTCAGCTGTCTTGATTGGCATTTCATTTGCCCCAGCACATGGTAAGGTAGGTAGGTGGACGAGAATATTCCTGGAGCGACTTGATGCTTCGGCTGCACACCATTAGCTCAAATCATTTTCCCATTGAAACAGTGAGTCATCCCGGGAGATTCAACTTTCTGCCGGACGCAACCAGAATTGTGCGATGATAACTTACATCGGATTGGATTTCCATCTAACTAGATGCATATGCATTGCGACGACAGTCATCGGATTGAGTGCTGCTCAAACAAGTGCCATCTAGAGGGAACTTAGATCTGAGCGGCAAGCGGCGGACAATTGATACATTTTTGAGAAAGATACCGTTCTCTGGAACAGCATTCCATAATGCCATATATCATCGCCTACTCGCGAGTGTGGGTCAAGCAAGTTATAATGGAAACTGCAAGCGACAAAACGCTTAGGACAATGGAGCATCGCGTAGCACACTGGAAAATCTAAGAGAAAGATGCAGGAACTAAGCGTAGGCCACCGGGAACGAAACCACATAAACCCGGAACTGGGCAGCCATCAACAGAGCAAATCATACGTCAGAGCCGGTGGAAACTAGGGTGGCATTAGGTATCAGTATAGTAACAAACAAGCATCAACAGCGCCTTTACAACAAAAAGGTTGAAACGGTCATTGACAAAGCCGGTTAAAATAGGTCAACTACACTACACAACGTCAAGCTAACAAATGAACATCGGCAGCTGTGAGGGCCGACTTTATGGAGGAACGAAGATTGCCTACTCAAACAGACCACAAACAGAATCCACGAAACAAACTCTAGGCGAACGCATATGCACAACCCGCGTAACCAATCAATGCAAATGCGGGCGTGAGCAGGTCTATGAGTTTGAACAAGAGGCAAAAGATGGGATACACAATGAATACCGGGACGCCAAACGGGATAAGGAAATGAGTCATCAATTACATTCGGCTCAAGGGTTTGTCAGCGTGTCCGGGAAAAGTGGTATGTAGACATAAGCATGAGCAGTAGCTTACCAAATTGATGTGTTTGTATGATCAGTTGGGGCTGTGGTGCTCAACGAGAACATAAAAACCAAACGCGACCGAAGTGACTGGTCCGTAGATCGCACACAAAATTGTCGTCCCGTATCCAACGTGTTTGGGATTGGTTACATGGTTAACATTTGCACAGTGGAAAGGTATCATAGATACCAAGCAACTGGCAAGACCAGATGCGCTCACAGCATACTGTTTTATGACTCATAAACTCAAAAACCAACCATCTAAAGGTCACTGACTCCACACCAGACATCATTGAAAGGGCTTACTTTCACCGCGGGAAGTTCCAATACACTTTATAACTCGTTGCTGTATGCTGGGCTACACGTTGAATGGGGAATCGTGAACCAGATAAAAAAGATGAAGCTTGAGTGTTTGGAGATTATAGAGATTGTTCCGCGTTAAGCAGGTAACTAGCTCATTTATACTTAATATTAACAAAACAGGTATTCAGGCAATCATAGTGAGCACTGATCCCAATGACTTGCGGAAGAAGAGTCAGCTTCGCAAACTTCGACGGCGACTGACCCGAAAGCTCCGTCGCATTAAAAATCCAAGGTGGACGGAGAAGGCGAAGCAGATGGAATGCTACGCCGAACGTCGCCAACACAAGGAATCCTTTGAAGGCGGTATATGGACCGAGATTGGAGCCGCTAAGGACGCTAATCGATGGCAGCTCAGACGCTGCCTGCACACAGACTGCAGATCTGGCAAAAACACTTTGTCTCTTGAACAACCGTTCAAAGATCGACTAGCCTGCATGGAATGGCCTCAAACAGCACGATGTGAAGGCGAGTCTGGCGAACACGTCGACACTGGATGAGACGCAGAGAGCACTTGTACAACTGCGAAAAGGCAGGTGTGCCGGTACCAATGGTATCCCGCATGAAGCATTGAAACAAGGCGGACCCGCGTTGGTGACTACGCTGCACCAGGCGGTTTCAGCGCGTACGGATTGAGGAGGAGGTGCCTCGTGAGCTGAAGGATGCCCTTAAACTACCACTGTACAAGAGCAAAGGAAGCAAGCAATGTTGCACGAATTATCGTGGCATCAACGTGCTGAGTTGTGTGGTCAAGGTGACTGCTCGAACCCTGCTCAACCGCCTCGTCAGTCAGGTTATGGAACCGAACGTGGCGGAAAACCAGTGGATTCCGTTCGGGTCGCAGCACTATCGATATGGTGCTTGCGGCTCGTCAGTTGCAGGAAAAGTGCAGAGAACGACACCAGCCATTGTACTCGCTTTTTGTTGATTTCACCAAGGCATTTGATACAGTGTTGGGTAAGTTTGGTTACCCGCGTAAGTTGGTAAGTTTAATTGAATGGTATACGGGCGAGGGTGCAGCTGAGTGGAGAGACCCCGGATGACTTTGCAGTTATCTCTGGTGTGAAGCAAGGCTGTGTCTTAGCACCTGCCCTGTTTAATATATATCTTCATGCAATGATATCTTGTGCTTTTGATGCCGCTTGTGATTACGGTGTTCGTGTGGGGCACCGTATTGATGGTGCGTTGCTGAACATCCGTCGTTTCGGTGCGAGAACCCTAGTTTATGAGACAACTATCCGTAGGTTGCTGTTTGCTGACGACTGCGTTGTTTTCACACAGCGCGGATGAGTTGCAGCACATGACTAGTGCTCTGTCTTCGATAGCGGCCAAATTCGGGCTCACCATCAACACAAGCAAAACTCTGTCTCTTTCAGCCTTCACCGGAGGTGCAATCTTCAAGACTGCCGCGAATCAGCATTGGTGCTGAAGTATTGGAAACCACCTCCCGCTTCTGCTACCTTGGGAGTGTGATGTCGACTGACCAGCAGCTATACAGTGAGCTGCGTATCCGCGTCTCGAAGTCAGCAGCGGCATTCGGGAAGCTAGAGTACTGAGTGTGAAATAACAAGCTTACCGTTGACACGAAGCTGATGGTGTACAAATCCATGATGCTGTCCGTTCTTCCATACGGCAGTGAAACGTGGACGATGTACCGGCGGGATGTGCGATATCTCGAGTGGTTCCACCAACAGTGTTTGCGGCGGATTATGCGCATCGGATGGGGCGACAGAGTTGCGCCGCAGTGGACTGCATACTTTTGCTAAGACACCTGAATTCGACGCGGATACCGAAACAACTATTATATGGTCAGCTGAGTATTGGAAAGCGGCATGTGGGGAAACCAAAGTTACGTTACCAGGACATGATCAAAGTGAGCCTTTCACGTACTAATCTTGATTGCAGGTCATGGGAATCGAAGGTGGTTGATCAGCGTGCGTGGCGCGATCTGATCACGAAGACAGTTGCCGAAGCGCGGGAGAAAGACCTCATACATGCAGAGAAGAAGCGGCAAGCACCGATGGGTTGTACTCCATCGACAGAGAGCGTATGGTGCTGTAGCACATGCGGTCACGAGTTCCTGAGTCAGCATGCCTAGTGAGCCATGAGCGAGGCCACTCGGGACCAATACCGAAGCGACTACGGGTCCTGCAGAGAACGTAGGCAGGACTGGCGCAGCGTATGTAGGTACGCTGCGTACGATTTACTGATCGCGTGCTTGCATGTTGAGTCTCTTTATTTCAGGTGGTGGGTTTGCAATTTTGTCCTAACGCTTTTCTTTCTCAAATTAATGTCTAACTGTACTATCTACTATAAGCATGCACACGTCGCTGAAGCTAATTGTAGTTAATTTCGATATTTTCGCGTTTGTGGCATTTTCTTAAAATATATATGCTGACGTCTTGGACTTATCGCGAAAACGTTCGTAACCAATATTTTATACGCTCATTTGTTGAGGAGTTATGTCACTGTAACTCTATTCAGAATCCATTTATTTTATTTGATGTCGTCGTTTCAAGTGACTGGCTGTTGGTTGATATCCCCAGTGTGGCTGCGTTGGATGTGCATGTTGACACGATGCCTACCTGTCTATTACCTACTACCTCATCCATACTGACTCTAGGAGACACTGCGTCGTTGCTGGAGGTGACGGGGTGCACGGTCTTTGTGGTCGTGCTAGACTCGAAGAGTGGTTCTATGCACTCAATGTGGAGCGGACTACGGTCCAGCCACCGCCTTGTGTGCGCTTGATTCCCCAAATACAGCGTGCTTGTGTTTGTCTTTGAAGGAGTGTGGGCCGGCTCCGTTGATGAAACGTGGCTCCCATTCACATGCCTCCCGGTCTTATTCCTTCGGGTTTACACTGGATATGGGTGTGTGGATGGAGCCGTGGGTGGTGCAGCGCAAGCCACCCATGGTCCCTCTGTAGGCGCAGGCGTCCTGTTGCTGGCCACAGTGTCAGGCAAATCCGAAAACGGATGCTGGCAACCATACTGAGCACTACCAAAGTTTCTTAATTGGCCATCCATTTGATAAAGCCTTTTGTTTTCACCATACTTATGAATTCACTTTTGATAACAAGAAACGAACGACAGACACTGCCCTTAACTTCTGCGTTGCTAGGCTGTCACCTTGAGACACTGCGATTCCGAAAATGTGCTGGATCTGCTTGCGGAGATTTGGAGACAAGAAGCCCATCACGGCAGTGCTCACGTCATATGGGTAACATCTAAGCATATGACAAATTTGGGCCGTTCTTTGCAGGTTCTTTTAATGGGGACAAACGATCCAGCTGATGTGTACGGTGACTAACTACCGGACAGAGTAGGATGTAATGCCAGATGTACGCTCGAAAAGAGGTGTAACATGCATTAAAACGTGAATTTCCACAAAAAAACCGACAAGTCAAGTAGTGTGATTATCTCAGCTCGAGTATTTACATCACAACTGTTTGGTATGATGAGAACATCACACGCGGTTCATGGCCGGATTTTTACAAACAAGCCGAGGGACGGATCGGTAGCGTGCCATCTTGAAGCCTCCAAGAAGCCAAACACTTCGTCTAGGTCGTCGACGTGGCGCGGACGATCGAACGCAGAAGATAAAACATGAGGCTCTAAAAATGGGAACGAAATATGAGGCGATAGGTTAGTAGGCCTATCGGTAGTAAAGAAAATGAAAGGCATCAGCAGCACGCCGGTACGCAGTACTGAAGTCTCGCTGCCGCGGCACCACCACCGGTCGCACGCGGGCTAAGGATACTGCGAGAGTCGCCCTGCTCATATGCACGCTCGAATCCGTGCCGTCAGATTACAAGACAAGCTCGTACATATGCTGCTACGTGCTTCAAATGATCTCCAAAAGTTAACTGACTACGCGGCTCGTGAAACCGTCAAGGTCGTTATGAGAAAAGTTATCTGCTTGTGTTTAACTTTGAGGATTAATCAAACAGCCACCACGTATCCGAAAATTGTTAGGCAACTGTTCGATCTAATTGGGACTCGCTGGTAGCGCGCATTCCCCTCGAATGCTTTAGGATCCGAACTCGTGATCTGGAATTTAAGTTGATCCTCTATCCATTACTTGCGAAAGATAGTTCGCCAAATCAACTTTCTTCGAACGAATGCTTATAAATAGGCCGAACAATAATCGGCTATTCCCAACACTCTGTCTTATTTCGTGGGCTCCTCATCATAGACGAATTATCCCAGTTACTTCAGACACCACTTAGCATACGCATTATAAATATTTGCACATTAAAGCTGGTTGGATTAGCGTCTTACCTCAGTCAAAGTAACCGGAACTGCAGTGTCGATGCTACTAACAATAAGTTGTGTTCTCAGGGTATTAAGTCTCGATTAATTACTAACAGACCTGAATGATTCATTCTCGATCAGATGGTCAAGCAATGGACACTGCCTTCGATTGTGATTTTGTCGCACTGCGCAAACTGCACATTATGGAAGAATTATAACAAACTACGTATATTTAGGTATTGTGTGAAGCAGATAGGTTTAAAATAATCTTTAGCGTCGAGATTGGTGCATAACGCTAAATCCACAGCATGTGTTTAAATAGACCACTGTTCGATTGGTTGAACCAACAGGGGCTACCCATGAGGTACTTCGATTAGGACATCAAGCGAACACCACAAATGCTCAATAGTGGTTTCAAGAAAATCCTCTTCATATCGATTTACTTATATACGTGACACGTTCAACCCAGTAGCCAACCATCGTTTGCTTTGAATTCTCACGTTAAAATGCCTGCTCGCATCTGTTGGGTATTCGATTTGATGGTTCAAGTGCCTTTCCCCCGCTTTTTATCTCTCCGATCGAACACTATATGTTGGCAACTATATTTTGCAGTTCCTAAAACCTACTGTCAGGACCAGGTGAGTCCGGGCAACTGGCCTTGACAAGTTTTGTTGCTCGAATCATAGTTTCTACGTTTTTTAATAGTGCCAAAAGTATGAGAAAGATGGTGGTGCTCGCTAAACCACAAACTAAAATATAGACAAGAACGAACCTGGTGAATACTCATGTGAGCCCATAGAGCGAGCAAGCGCTCTCGCATACAGTTCGGAGGCGGCCGCATCTAGCATTGCATGTTGTTCAACGGTGGGATCCCCATTTGAGTTGGTTGCAGTGCTCCAAGAAACACCGGCAGTTGAGGCAATTCCACCAGTGGACGTTGTGCTCGAATCCCCGTAAAACTGAGCTGCGTATTGCGACGCATAATACTGCTGGTAATATTGCTGGTAGGCTTGATAGTATTCTGCTTGGGCAGCAGAACTGCCGGTAACAGCAGCCGCTACAGCGGCTGTGAAGGGATCCGGCATGCCTGGAAAATAAATTACATGCTTAAGATGAGTTCACAAAGATAGTACACGCGCGGGTCTAATATTGGGGATTTTCGTATAAAAATATTTATCATCTGATGAAAAATAGGACAGACAAGCGAGAAGCGTTGTGTAGAGCCCAGGACAGTGCAAAGATGTTGCGGTCAAATATTGCGCTTGATTTAAGGAATATCAATGCAAAACAAATTATGGAAAACAAGCCTAATCAAAGGTAGGTAGGGAGCCATCGGAAAATTTATGAGATTCATTTTTGTTTTTCACACGCTGATCTTTTTGTCATTTTTAGTTTGAGGCAGTTAACATGTGATTCAGTGCAAGTATGCGTAGTTCTTCCACTGATTTTGGTTGCGGGCCATGTCTTTAAGTGTGTTAAACCGCTAGTGCTTTTCATTCTCGGGAAGACGTACGGGTCCAACAGCGGCTAGACGTGAAGTCAGTGGTTTCATGTGCTGTCGCCATGTGGAAGGCTGACCACCACGCGGTAGCCTGTTCGTGAAAGAATGAAAAGATCGCACACCGGTATGTTAATGTCTGTAGGACACAACACAGGCACGCCAGCTGAGTCTCCAGCAACGGGTGGACAACGCTCTGGAGAGCCTGTAGCCGGTGAGCATGTGGGCTCGTTCGAACATAATGGCTAGGTTTCTGCTTGCTTGAATGAACCCACGGAGCTCCTTCCTATGGAACCTTTGGCTCATCTTGTAGGCTCGCGCGGTTTCTCCACTGTTTGTGACTGCACAGTGGCTTGGCATTTCCCGCACAATATTTGGACAAAGTCATGCTAAATTTCATCCAGTAGTTGAAAATGATCTAGATAAACCAATACACGAAGTGTGGAAATTCACACGACACATAACGTATGTAACAGCATTGGCTCTATACCGAACTATTTTGCAACAAGCACCACATGGAGTCAGCTTCGTCATTACGGATAGCTTTGCAGATGTGACGGTAAAGGTGATATATTAAACGATAGGTACACGATACAAATATCAGAGTAGGATATACGAAGTTGACAAAAATAAACACGAAAAATCTGCTCTGCACAAAGTAATGAACAATGCAAACTGGCTCCGTCAAGTGCGCGGGTATAAGAGATTCAACAATTATAGCAGTTGAACAGGCAATTGAAAAAACAGCACGAAGTCAGTGACATACCACTGGGAACAATAGATGATGTCGTTTCCGAACTCGAATTCGTCACAGCTACGCTCCCGTCTGCGTTGTACCTCTTTGGTATAGCAAGACTAACGCGGATGGGCTTGTAACCCAAGCCGCAGTAGTTTTGCATCTCTATGAGGGCTTTGTCCATATCGGCCTCCGTTAAGAAGCGCACGAAGCCGTATCCGCGCGACTTACCGTTTGTCATGACCACTAGGATATAATCATCAAGATGAGAAATAACCAGAATACCTTTCGCGGACCTGCAAGTGGGATATTTCTTGAAAGCATTGAATAAGGCTAAATCATCCACATCTTCCGTCAGCTCCCCCACAAACAACGAGCATTCATTGCTATGATTGTGTCGAAATAAGCGTAGTAATACGAAACTAACCTGGAAGAGCTGTCTTTGCCGTAACTGGCGTGGTTCAGTTTGAAACGTTTTGTCTGTGATAAGAGATGGAATAGAAGACTGAAGTGCAGTGCTTAGTGTCGGGAAAGTAGAAAGCAATTAGCGAGTAAGAGGAATCTGCATACGAGGAGACTATAAAAACATAAAAACATGCAGTGATCCTACCAGTCATATATATGACCAATTCTAATACACACTTTTCAAGGAAATAAATGGAATTATCGTTGAAGATTGGAATTCCAGTTCAAAATACCATGGCCGACTCCGATTCGGAAGTACCAGATAAACAAAGTTTTAAAAACTCCTCAGCTCAATTAACTTTAGTTCGTCAAATGTGACCTAGTTGCACTTGATTCAAATACTGACCTACTTGATTAATGATAAAAAAGACAATAGGAAAACGGAAACGCGAAGATAATTATGAGTGATAGTTACAATTGTGGGTCGGTCGTTGTTTGTTTTTAAGTAACAACCATCGATGTTATCGTCAGGCTGCACGTTAGCTGTGTTAAAGATACTAGTTATTGCGCCGCAATACGACTCGTAAAAAATCAAAATAAGTATTCAACATCTTGGAAAATGCTTGGAACCGATCGAGAACTCATGATTTCAGAAGGGTTTGAAAACAAACGGCTTGTATAGTTTGTGGGCAACGCTTCGCTTTTGACAAAGGCTTGGTCAAGCCGAGTGAACCATTCGATAATTGGTATAGCACTTCTAGCGAACTGGGAGGATAATCGCAATGAATGGGATGTAGGCAGGTCAAATGCGTTACAAGTCAAAGCGTCATTCCAAGTAGTGCATGGAAAGGTCACAACTGGCTAATGTTACAAGAGCACACACGTTTGCCCGGTTAACGACGAGTGCGGGCATGATGTGATATTCATTCTCTGCTCTGGATCCGAATACCCGCGCTCCACAGACTGGTCGGGTTAAGATAGCCCACCATACGTTCGAAAGCTCTGCCCCGTACACTCTGTTCATGCAGCTGTTCAGTTTGCTAATCTCAACTGCCTCAGCAGTCAGCTTTTGGGGCGTTGATCGTGATCCTTTCCTAACCATTTCGACGTTACTCAAGTCGATCTCATGACCTGTATGTATCGTGTGCATCGCTACTGCCGAATCCCTTAATAGAGCCTTGTATTCAAGCTCGTCCCCCGATGGCCGTATTATGCGCCTCTTGGGGTTTGGCCGACGTACACGTGTGCGCAGTCTTTGCAACTAATTTTGTAGACGTAATCAGTTGTCTTATTTGCGAGAAGTGGGTCCTTCAAGTGCACCAGTGTCGAGTGAAGCGTTTGACTTTTCTGTAAAATTATCCTTGTTCTCATTGTATAGGACCCTTCAGATAGCCTCCGAAATCCCATATTTATATGTAATCCATCGTGACGAGACTTGATCTTCACGTGGTGCGATGGTTTTTGTGTGCCTCAATGATCTATTGAGCTATGCTGGCTGGTGCTTTCTGCACCTTCACGGCTACTCATACAAGATTGGTCAATGGTTAGAGCCCAGACAAACTCAGTCTCCTGGCCCTCCACGTTGGGGTGTAAGTGGCCCAAAACAGACTCTCTGTAGCCCAGTGCCAAAACCCCGCTGCCTCGCGGCTAGGTTTTTGAACCAAACACTTGGTTGAGAACCCTAATCGTTCTCCTGTCTTGGCCTGGGTAACGTAACAGTATCCTACCCATGCAATACAACTCAATGATTTTCCCTTTAAACAATCCCTTGATGCTATGGCCGTCACAAAGGATAATAAACGACACCTTATCTGTTGCATCGACCAGGGTTGATAGAGGTTTGAATGCTACTGCTCAAGCATTCCCGTCTTCTTATTCCTCTTCTCGCGCTTTATCATCCCAACTGCACTTTTATCCCCAAATATCTGGCCCTCCCCCATCTTGGTTTGATATGCGTTTGTCTTCTAGTTTCAACTCACACACAAACGCGGAGCGCCATCCTTGCCCTGTCGACAAGTCCATGTCCATCCAAACGGAAAACATCAGTTCATCTGTTTCTATTTGGGGCCCTCGATCCTCGCTAAGACTGGCATGCCTCAACGTGCGCACTTTGCTACATCTTGGCCAACAAGCAGCACTTGTCCGAACACTAGAGACCCTCTCAATCGATATTCGCTGTTTATTGGATACCTGCCTGAAAGATCCGAGCTCCGTGCTTACTCTGCGATCCCCACATGCGACATTGGCCGCACATTCTCATTACGCCTGTCTGGAAATGGTGCAGCTTCAAATGACGGTGAAGTCGGCGTGGGTATTAGTTTGAGTCCGGGGGCTGAAGCTGCCCTGATCGATTGGGTTCCAGCCAACAGCCGGATGTACGCCGTTAGATTAGCTGGCTCGTCTCACACTTCGAAGTCGCAAGGAGGCAAACAATGCCTGTTTGTCATTGCGGCGTATGCGCCTAAACTGCAGCACTGATTCATTAAAAGATGATTTCTATTAGCAACTTAACGATCTCGTTACAGAAAATGTACAGAGACCGTGGTGCTTGCTGGTGATCTGAAGGCCCAAGTCGGAAAATTGTCCAGTGATAAGTTGCATCTGGGCGGCCAATATGGTGTACGCACCCGCAATGATAACGGTGAGTGGTTGCTACATTTGTGTGAAAAGGCTCGTCTCTTTCTCGCCAGCACTAATTTCCGATACAGCACTCGCAGAAGAGTGACTTGGCGCTCAGCAACATCGGACAAGCCATGGAGGCAAATCGATCACACAACTGAAGCTAGTTCCAAAACTGTCTCTCGATTTGGAGCACTAGCGTAGACTCCGATCACGCTCTTGTGTGTGCCGACCTGCGGGTGCATTTCGGCGGACGTTCGCAACCTCGCTGTGCACGCACAGACATCAGCCAACGGGCGAAGCCAGGTGTACTAAATGGGTATCAAAGCACGCTGGTATCCGGGCTGTGTAAGAGCTCAATGAACACCGCTGAAGACCATTGGTCTCATATTCGCCAGACGTTACTATCACATGTGGCCACCTGGACATTGGGTCTCTACACAGTCTCTAGAACTTCTTGATGCTCGCCGACGTATTCTGACAAGAAGCGAACATGAGATTCGCAAAAATCTCAGGGCAAAACTGCGCGCTAGCCTGAAGAGGGACTGCGAAGTCCGGTGGTCTCGTCCTGCAACGGAAATGGAAACAACCACTGCCGTTGGTAACCATCAGAAGTTATTCCGACACGCGAAACGGGCAGCAGGAGACCTGATGTTAGCGAGACCATACGCCACGAGAGTAGACAGCCGATCCATAGCTTGTCAAAACGCTTGGAGCGTTGGGCCGAACACTTTGAAAAGCGGTTCAATCTGTCAGATTTGCCCGCTTCTTCCCCGGCCATTGATCGCGCCACTCCCTGGGCCGTCCCAACGGATCCGCCCTCGCGCACAGAAATCGGAAGTAAGATCAAAGTTTTTAAATTGAATAAGGCCGCAGAGACAGATAGAATTCGTCCATCACTCATCGAATTCGACGAACCTGCTTTTGTAGATGGTTTACACAAGTTACTAGTGAAACTGGGAGCAGGAAAGTTCTCCAACAGATTTGAGTCGCGCCTTTACTATCCCAATTTTCAAGGGAGGCTCACGTTCGGAATGCGGCAATCATAGAGGAAGTAGTCTGGTCTCAATTGCCTATAAATTGCTTGCGTCTGTCGTTTTCCACAGACTGAATGGCACTCATGGAAGACAGATTTGCGAGCAAGCTGGGTTTCGTCGAAATCGAAACCGCATCGACATCATTACGATACGTCAATTGCTAGAGCATCACCATATGTATTGGCGACCCATTGTAGTCGAGTTTCTCGACACCAAAGGTGCCTTCGATTCTGTTCATCGATGTATCCTCTGGACTATCTCTTCAGGTAAGGTATGCCCGAAAAATACGTAAACATTATCAGAGCGCTGTACGCGTATACTTCGGGCAGAGTGAGGGATTATGACAAACTGTCGCCGCCATTCACTACCTCCAGCGGTGTGAGATAAAGATGCCCGCTGTCACTTTTCCTCTTTAACTTCGCCATTGACGAAGTCATGGAGACTTATAAGGTGTGGAGCTGCTCCCAGGTGAGCTTGGAGGTGACTTGGAGTATGCTGGCAATATTGCCTTTATCTGTGAAAGCGCCCAAACGTGCCAAACAGCACTGGACCGATTAGCACTGCTTGTCAACTTTTTTGGGCTATGCTTTGCTCCCTCGAAATGCAGTCCTTTTCCAAGATTGGCAGAGACCTACCTCTGCGCTGACCCTCGGTGGTGATCAGCTAGAAGTCGTCCAGAAATTCAAGTACCTGGGCAGCTATATTAGAGCCCTTGGGATTGATGAGGTCGCGAACCGTATAGCAAAAACTCGAGGTGCTTTTGCCTATCTTCGCCATCTGTGGTGCCGACACGACATAACTCTCAACCTGAAGACCAAAGTTTACAATGCAACTATCCGTTCAACCCTCCCATATGGTTGCGAAACCTGGCCCATTAGGTTGACACAAATAAAGAGGCTAGCTACATTCGACAATCGCTGCCTTCACAGTTTAGCTTATATCTGGTGGGATCACCGCGTGTGCAATGAATGTGTTCGGCGTCGTGTCGTTGGTGCAGGAAGGACAAGTGATCCGTTCAGCACCATCACATCACGCACCAGGCTCCGATGGCTTGGCCATGTGCTGCACATGCCAGCCCACTGACTCCCGCGACGTGCGTTGTTTGCTTGCACGGGGTTTGGATGGAAGGGGAGGAGGGGAGGCCAAGCAGTGACTTGGTCAAGAGGAATGAGAACCCTTACTTGGAAGTTGACGTCGGTTAGTGTTTCCCAATAGCCTAGCTGGGGTCCGAAAGACGATGAACACGTTTGGTTGTGCACGCTGGCTTACATCGCTAGGAGCCGGCCCCAATGGTGTTTGTGCTGTGAGTTTGTTTGTCCATCCCCCTCTCCTGTAGATTCCCACTCCAATCACGAGCTCATAGCCAACTAATAACATGACATTTAACCCTATATTACTTGATTTCCTAAATTTTTATAGTGTTATCTTTAGTATCTTATATTTAGTATTGCGAAACATTAGT